CCCAGACCGGCTCTGACGGGCTTTTTTGTAAGGAGAGTGTTCGGGTAGTTCTTACCCAGTATTTTGTGTGGAACAAACTAGTGCACTTCTCACCAGGTAACTTCGTATGGAAAAGATTGCTACCTGAAGACGTGTTGGGGTCACAGTGTCCCGATGGAACCCGCTTTCTGAGTCCCTGACTGCGCAGTGACCTAGCCGCGGGATGGAGTCTAGCGCCTGCCCCGGCTTTGGCGCCTGCTCCGCAGTGAGCCCTTGCGCTCTTGGTTGTTGTCGTGAGACTGCCTATCCCACAGTTGCACGTGCTGTTGCATAGTTCAAATGCAATGTCGCAGCCCTGGGAACCTGAGGAAGACACAGACATCCATTTTGTTTAAGGAAGAGAATTGAATTATTTCCGGGTGTTGTTTTCGAAAACATAGTATAACGGGAATAGCTGTTTTTGCCACTTCCGGCAAGAATCCATCATATCCTTTAGAGCTCTTTGATTCACCGGAAAAATCAACAGGCAGTACTGTTTGGTGTCTACCTATAATCTTTGAGTGTGGTTCGATTCCAGAGTGTAGAAGTTGCCCTCACTATTAACTACTGGGATGACGGTTGCTTCAAACTTTTCTTTCTAAACTGCTTGCTTAGAAAGGAATCTTCAGAGGTCTGCCTCAGGTGGTCTGCCCGCCTTGGCCTCCAAAGTGCTTGGATTACAGGCATGAGCCACCATGCCCAGCCCTAATTTCTGTATTTTTAGTAGAGACATAGTTTTGCCACAATGGCCAGGCTGGTCTTAAACTCCTGGCCTCAAGTGATTTCACCCACCTCAGCCTCCCAAAGTGCTGGGCTCCATGCTCGGCCTTGTCATTTTTTAAAATAATATTTTAAAGTGCAGACATTCTCATTATCATGCTCCTTTCCATCATCATCGTGGACATCACCAAAAGACTGAATTCTGGAACTACTAATGAATTCCAAGGTCATCAAGTCCACCCTTCTTCTCCTTCAGGCTAAATTTCTTGATTCTAGATTATACCTAATAATAATAATAATGCATATTATTATTATTATTGATACATCATGATCAATATCATCAGCACTTCCAACCTGTGAGTCTTAACCTAAGGGTCCATAGTCACATAGGGAATCTAAGAATAGGTTTCAGAAAATTTACAAGCCTGCTAGGTATCTGAATTTTATGTGCTTGAACATATATGCATTTGTCTGGGAAGAGGAACCACAACTTTAATTCAACATTTAAATCCATGTGTGCCCTCACCTCAAAAGTTAAAAACTGATTAAAAGTCTAAGTAGAGCCTTCCAACTGCTTAGGCAAATCAAGAATTTTAAGAAAAACTTTCTTATAGACATAAAAAGAAATAAAAATAGATTATCCATATATTTTATATACTTTTTAGAAAAAAACTACATATACTACTAGATGAAAAAGAGGTTAAGAAAATTTAATAAAGGGACTTAATTACTTCTTTTATTATTATTATTATCTTATTTTTTTTTTTAAAAGATGGGGTTTCACCATATTGGTCAGGCTGGTCTTGAATTCCTGACCTCAGGTGATCCGCCCACCTCAGCCTCCCAAAGTGCTGGGGTTACAGGCGTGAGCCACCGCGCCTGGCTTTAATTACTTCTCTATGATAATTCCAGGTTCCCTTGGAAAAGCAGATCAATGAGAGATTTCATGAATAATGACATTTACTGTATTGTTCTAGTGTGTACTTTATTACAATGATAAAGACCTCTCCACCCGTTTTGTCATTGGATGATGCTTCTTTCATTTGTTCATCTTTTTACATCTTTTTACATTCTTATATCAGTTGTGTTAAATATTCTTTTGTTTTTAGTAAAATCAAGATTGGGATAAGGAGCTTTAATACTAAAGAATGCCACATGGGCTGGGCGCGGTGACTCAGGCTTGTAATCCTAGCACTTTGGGAGGCCGAGATGGGTGGATCACCTGAGGTCAGGAGTTTGTAGACCAGCCTGGCCAACATGGCGAAACCCTGTCTCTACTAAAAATGCAAAAATTAGCCGGGTGTGGTGGTGGGTGCCTGTAACCCCAGCTACTCAGGAGGCTGAGGCAGGAGAATCACTGCACCCAGGGGGCGGAGGTTACAGTGAGCCGAGATTGTGCCACTTCACTCCAGCCTGGGTGAAAAGGTACAAAACTCCATCTCAAAACAAAACAAAACAACCACAAAAACAGAATGCTACGTATTGTTTTGTCTACCAAGAACCAAACTTTGTAGTAAATTTTATCTACTGCATTGAACATTTGAAAAGGGAATGGGGATTCTTATTTGTGGTGCCTTTGGAAATCTTGGAAACAAATATTTATTCATTCATTCATTCAACGAAGGTCTGTGAAGCATTTTTGTTGAACACTGATATATGAATATATGCTAAGATGAACAAGAACAAATTGTTTCTAACCTCAGGCAGCTTGAGCTTTAAAGGGGAGAATTGAGACAAATAATGATTTAAGGGTTCACAAAAGGACATTGGAGATCTTATAAAAATTAGTTTACGTCAGAGTGCAGTGGCTCACACCTGTAATCCCAGCACTTTTGGAGGCTGAGGCAGGCAAATCATGAGGTCAGGAGATTGGGACCACCCTGGCTAATACAGTGAAATCCTGTCTCTACTAAAATTCCAAAAAATTAGCCTGGTGTGTTGGCACGAGCCTGTAGTCCCAGCTTCTCGGGAGGCTGAGGCAGGAGAATCGCTTGAACCTGGGAGGCGGAGGTTGCAGTGAGCCGAGATCGTGCCACTGTACTCTAGCCTAGCAACAGAGCAAGACTCTGTCTCAAAAAAAAAATTGATTTATTCTTCCTAGTGTATTTTCTTGTTAGAAAAATTTTCACGGAGGCTATCATTCATTAAACAGGAATTGTCAAACTGGAGTGTTTGTGTACATAGGGACATTGTACAAAACACAAAAATATCAAGGTATAGACAGCATACTAAAATCAAAATCGTGCTGCAAAACTGGCAAACTGAGTATTAGCATCAAAAGAGCCACAAGCTTCCGTGGGCATGGAAAATAGAAATGTTTTTAATCTAGTTCTACTCATGACGCATGCAAACACACTAGATAATTTTATTCCGAAAGATTTCTGAGTACCAAAGGAATGGAAAGAATGATCATTGATTCGATAGGGGAAAGCAGTCTTTTGGAGTGATCTACAAGTGGTTCCCAGAGAGGAGATGAAGTATTGCCTTAAAAATTACCTGGTTTTATGAAACATAAAATCTGAAGTCCATCCCAACCACTGGCCAACGAAAGGAATTCACGTAACGATTTATAGCATTTCTTGAAGTAATACCCCCCCACCCCCACTATGGCAATAAAGCATGTTAAACCATCCATTTTCAACTTTTGTTTCATTGTGAAAAATAACTCTGGGCTCAATTTAGTTCAATAAAATTCATTGAATACTGTATTATGGGAAGTAAGTTGATATGTAGAGGTACAAATATTGGCCTCTGCTGTCAAGGAATTCATAGACTTTTGGGGTAGACATAATACATGTGAATATATAAATATATGCATACACACATCGATCTATCTATCATCTATCTATCAATCAATCTATCTGCACATATGGGACTGTGGGCTAAAATGTAATAAGACCATTTTAAAATTTTAAAGTGACTTTAATAAGATGACATTTTACTAACAAAGCATAAGATAATTGAACATGATTATGGAGAGAAATATCACAATAAAACTGTATCAGGGAGCAAAATTTTAAAAAGTATGAATACTTTGTAGTGTATCTGAAAAATAAATTTCTATTTATTTTTGAGAAGGTAAATGTGACCACAAATTTATTTAATGAGCTAATTATTATACTCTGGACATAGGGGAACAAAGATTAATAAAAAAGTAGATGTTGGCCGGCTGCAGTGGCTCATGCCTATAATCCCAGCATTTTGGTAGGCCGAGGGGGATGGGATCACTTGAGGTCAGGAGTTTGAGACCAGTCTGGCCAACATGGCGATACCCTGTCTCTACTAAAAATTCAAAAATTAGCTGAACATGGTAGTGTGTGCCTGTAGTCCCAGCTACTTGGGAGGCTGAGTTAGGAGAATCACTCGAACCCAAAAGGCTGAAGTTGCAGTGAGCCGAGATTGTGCCCCTGCACTCCAGCTTGGGTAAGAGAGCGAGACTCTGCCTCAAAAAAATGAAATAGGCCGGGCGGTGGCTCACACCTGTAATCCAAGCACTTTGGAAGCCAAGGCGGGCAGATCACCTGAGGTCAGCAGTTCAAGAGCAGCCTGACCAACATGGCGAAACCCCGTCTTTATTTAAAAAAATAAATAAATAAAATAAAATAAAATAAAAAAGTAAATGTTATACTTTGCCCAGATTAAAATGAATCTGGTGAAATTAGCCATTCCCCCAGTATAAAAAATATATTGGTTTAATAGTACATTGACTAATCCAGTTGGTAATCATAGAGTTAACAGGAAAGCCAGATGTACTGTCTAGAATTTCTATAAAAGTACCTTGACAAGTGTCTTTATTCAGACTCTTATATAAATGAAATAAATTTGCCTGAAATTTCGGTATGATAGTATGTGTACATTGAGTGTGCATATGAGTGTGTACATGAGTATAACAGTGATAAAACTTGTGTGTGCATAAAAGTTTGTGATTAGGCTGGGCGTGGTGGCTCATGCCTGTAATCTCAGAACTTTGGAAGGCTGAGGCGGGCGGATCACCTGAGGTCAGGAGTTCAAGCCTGGCCAACATGGTGAAACCCTGTCTTAAAAAAAAAAAAAAGTTTGTGATTAAATAAAAGAAAAAATAAAAATATTTTTATTGATGTTTATTTCTAAGCTTTCCTTTCTAAGATCTTACCTTCATTAACGTGAAATTTGTACTTTCTTTTTAAATATACAGTTAAGACAGAATATACTTAATTTAGAAAAAGCATAAAATGCTTCTGTTTGCACCACTTCACATATAAAGCCAGGTGCGGGGACTCGTACCTATAATCCCAGCATGTTGGGAAGCCAACAAATGAGGATTCCTTGAGCCTAGGAGTTAGAGGCTGCAGTGAGCCATGATCGTGTCACTGCATTCCAGTCTGAGCCAGAGGGTGAGACCTTGTCTCAAAAATTAAATAAATAGGCTGGGCACAGTGGCTCACACCTGTAATCCCAGCTACTTGGGAGGCTGAGGCAGAAGAATCACTTGAACCCGGGAGGTGGAGGTTGCAGTGAGCCAAGATCACACCACTGCACTTCAGCCTGGATGACAGAATGAGACTCTTTCTCAAGAAAAAAAAAAGTTAGGAATTTTCTGGAAAAAAGAAAAGATTAGTTACTGAGTCTCTTCACTTTCACCTTACTGTTTTCTCAATGAGACACTTATCAAGTAAAAGATTCCCTACAAAGTCTGCCACGACCTTCTTAAACATGTCCTTTAAAGCTTCCTTAACTTGTCATTACATAAGGCATAGATGAATGGATTCAGCAGTGGTGTCACAAATGTTGTTACTACTGTCACTGCCCAGTTAGTGTCCACTGAGCCACTCTGTGATGGCCGCACATAGAGAAAAAATGGCACTTCCATAGAAGAGGGTCACCACTATCAAGTGGGAGGTACAGGTAGAGAAGGCCTTCTGACGGCCTGAAGCAGTGGGGATGCTCAGGACAGCCAGGACAATGTGGCCATAGGACACAGCAGTAATGAGCAAGGAGGATACAATGACAAGGGAGGCCAGGACAAAGTCAGTCTCCTCCAGCTTCTTGGTGTTGGTGCATGCCAGGCGAAGCAGCAGGCCACTGTCACAGAAGAAGTGCTGCACCACAGCACCCTGCTTACAGAAAGGAAGCAAGGCTACAGCCACTGTGGGACCAAGCACAGGGGTGAAGCCCCGCACCCAGCAGGCCAAGGCCACACGGAATCACACAGCCCCACTCGTGAGGAAGGGGTAGTGCAGAGGATGACAGATGGCTAAGTAGCGATCCACAGACATGACAGCCAACAGTAGGAACTCGGAGGCCCCGAAAAAGAAGTAGAAATAGAATTGGGTGATACATGCAGCAAAGGAAATAGTGTGTTGCCTTGAGAGGAAATTGCTCAGCATCTTTGGAATGATGACAGAAGTCAGCAGAATCTCAAGGCAGGACAGGTTACCCAGAAAGAAGTACATGGGGGTCTGTTGTCGAGTATCAGCTCTTACCACCCCCACAATCAACACATTGCCTGTCAGAATCAGGAGATAGACAAGAAGAAACACAGAAAATAATACCACTCTTGCGCTGTTGAGATTTGGGAACCCTGCCAGGACGAACTCTGTCGCATCACTACTCTGGTTCCCATCAGAAGTCATTATCTTTTCCACCTGTGCAAGAACAAAAACACAATCCTGGTGAGAGCAGGTCCTTTCCTTACATTTGTAAAACGTACTTTATCATAGTATGGCACACATATCCCCAGTCTCTCTAATTGCAGGTCCTGTTATGATCTGAAGCACTTAAGGTTATTATCTGATTAATTTTAGCGCTGGAGAAGATTTTCTATAAAGGGTAACAAAACGTAGGTATGAAAATGCCAGGAGCATCTCTTCCATCTTCATATCTCCTGTTCTCAGATCTTAAATAATGAGATCTCATTATTATTTTTTTAATCTTTTTATATATATAGAGAGAGAGAGATGGGGTTTCGCCGTGTTGGCCAGGCTGCCCTTGAAATCCTGACCTCAGGTGATCCGCCCGCCTCGGCCTCCCAAAGTGCTGGTATTACAGGTGTGAGCCACCGCGCCTGGCCTGAGATCTCATTATTGTAATAGCAATATCTCTGAGCATCTGAGATGGGCAAAAATATCTGAAAAACGACTGTAAAGAATACGATTGCCATTCAACTCAGATCAGAACTTGAGTCAGACTGCCTAGTTTTAAATGCCTGCATCTCCACTTACTGGCTGAGTAACCTTGGCAAGTTTACTTAACCTCTCGTGCTCCTCAGTGATGAAATGCTGTAAGGAGCAAATGATATAATAATGCAAAGAATTTAAGTGCTTTGTGCCAGGCACGGTGGTTCACACCTGTAATCCCAGCACTTTGGGAGGCTGAGGCGGGCGGATCCCAAGGTCAAGAGACTGAGACCAGCCTGGCCAAAATGGTGAAACCCTGTCTCTACGAAAAATACAACAAGTTAGTGAGGCATAGTGGTGGGTGCCTATAATACCAGCTACTCAGGAGGCTGAGGCAGGAGAACCGCTGAACCTGAGAGGTGGAGGTTGCAGTGAGCCAAGATCGTGCCTCTGCACTCTAGCCTGGGTGACAGAGTGAGACTCTGTTTTAAAAAAGGTTTCTAGCACTTAACTTAAAAATTGTGTGGCAGAGGAAAGCCCCTGGTTATAAATTAGGATATCAGTATCCAGGCTTGGCTTGCCATTACCCTTATCAATTTGCATTTTAACTGTCCAACTGTACAATGAGTCACAGGAATCTAGGCTATAGGCAATCTAGGCCATACCTAATGAAATTACATAAAATTACCCTTTTCAGCAGGGCGCAGTGGTTCACACCAGTAATCCCAGGTCTTTGGGTGGCTGAGGGGGGTGGATACTTGAGGTCAGGAGTTCGAGACAAGCCTGGCCAATATAGTGAAATTCTGTCTCTACTAAAAATACAAAAATTAGCTGGGTGTGGTGGCGTGCAGCTGTAGTCCCAGCTACTCAGAAGACTGAGGCAGGACAATCACCTGAACCCGGGAGGCAAACGTTGCAGTGAGCCGAGATCGCACCACTGCACTCCACTGCACTCGCACAGAGACTCTGTCTAAAAAAAAAAAAAAAAAAAAAAAAAAAATTACCAGCTAGGCATGGTGGCTCATGCCTGTAATCCCAGCACTTTGGGAGGCCGAGGCAGATCACGAGGTCAGGGGTTCGAGACCAGCCTGACCAACATGGTGAAACCCAGTCTCTACTTAAAAATACAAAAATTAGCCAGGCGTGGTGGTGTACACCTATAATCCCAGCTAGTTGGGAGGCTGAGGCAGGAGAATTGCTTGAACCCAGGAGGCAGAGGTTTCGTGAGCCGAGAGTATGTCATCGTACTCCAGTCTGGGCGACAGAGTGAGACTCTGTCTCAAAAAAAAAAAACCGTTTCATGAAGAATTTTTCCAACAACCAGAGGGTCTAAATCAGCTCAGATTGCTACAAAGAATTTGCATTTCTAAAGCAAGTGAAAAAAAAAGAATAGGAATAAACTATAACTATATTGATACATTGAATCAATTAGTCAGTTTTCCATAACTGCTCACTTAATGTCAACTTCTAGTTAAGAATTTTGGGGAAATAGACTGAAAAAAGCCCACATTTATCGTGTTGAACTACCAATCCAAGGCCATTTCACAAACTCGGTCTCTATTAGATAATTTATCAGAGACAAAATTGTGAATTTCTGACTATTAATAAAATTTAAAATGTTCTTTTTTTTTTTTTGGACACGGAGTTTCGCTCTTGTTACCCAGGCTGGAGTGCAATGGCACGATCTCGGCTCACCGCAACCTCCGCCTCCTGGGTTCAGGCAATTCTCCTGCCTCAGCCTCCTGAGTAGCTGGGATTACAGGCACGCACTACCATGCCCAGCTAATTTTTTGTATTTTTAGTTGAGACGGGGTTTCACCTTGTTGACCAGAATGGTCTCGATCTCTTGACCTCGTGATCCACCCGCCTCGGCCTCCCAAAGTGCTGGGATTACAGGCTTGAGCCACTGTACCCGGCCAAAAAATGTTCTTTTTTTAAATTCAAGTCCTCCCAGTTCTGAGGACCACCACCAGTTAGAAAAATCAAGTCAATTATATTCAGAAAGCTTGTTTAAAAATGCCTCAGGTATCAGGAGAATCTTTATTTCCTTTTGACAGAGCAGGAGCACTGTAATCTCAGACAAACACCATCACTTTAAATTCCAGCTCCTTTTCTAGCCTCATGCATTTCAAAGAAATCTCTTCTAACTACAAGCAGCCAGAAAGAGCAGACAGTCAAACACAGAAGACAGCTAGGGCACAGAGGGAGGTGAGGGGAAATTCTCTTGGGTAACCACCAAATTTCATCTTCATACAATGGGCCCTAGTAAAACCGTTAATAAGCACATTCCTTTCCCTTTAGGTGCACTAAGATAGGGAAGCTAAATGCAGGCTCGGGGATATGCCTGCAGCCACAGAAAGAGGTGTAGGAACAGACACACAACTCTCCTTCTTAGGTAAGCATAACAAAGAGATAGAGAAGCAGTTTAAGCCTCTGATAAACTCTCCCACCTGGAATCCTTAAAAACTCAGTCTGAGGCTGAGCACAGTGGCTCACATCTGTAATCCCAGCACTTTGGGAGGCTGAGGCGGGTGGATCACCTGAGGTTAGGAGTTCGAGACCAGCCTGGCCTACATGGTGAAATCCCATCTCTACTAAAACTAAAAAAAAAAAAAAAAAAAAAAAAAAAAAAAAAAAAATTAGCCAGGCATGGTGGTGGTTGTCTGTAATCCCAGCTACGCCGGAGATTGAGGCAGGAGAATTGTTTGAATCTGGGAGGCAGAGGTTGTAGTCAGCCAAGATATGCCATTGCACTCCAGCCTGGGCTACAAGAGTGAGACTCTTGTTCTCTAGCATACCTCAATGGTCTTTGTTCTCAGCAAGCATTAGGCTCTTTATTTGCAATTTATCTCCTGTGGATCCGGCAGGTCCAGACAGGAAAATGTCTGGACCTTTTGTCTAGGTTAAAGCGGTACTGTGGTCTTTCTCCCTGAGAATTCATTCAGTGCCTCCCCTCCCTCCAGCTTCCATAGAAATTGCCTGTTGTCAGTAAAGCCTTTCAACTTTTGCTTCGTATTTATTATGTACCAGATGCTGCTGTACTTGGAGCTTCAGAGATAGAAGACGTTGTCACTACACTCACTGCCCACTAAGAATGACAGAAAAATTAAGATGTGTGACAGGTGGAATGTCGCAGGGAAGTATAAGTTACCAAGGGGAAACAGAAAAGGAACCAAACTGAAACTTAGAGAGACAGGCAGTATTCTGGAGAAAATGAATACTAGAAAATTAGTATGCATTTATTTGATAGAGAGAAGGAAGCATCTTCAATGAAAAAGAGCAGCATTTAAACATAGTACCTTTGGGCCACAGCACAGAACATAAGGGGTGGAAATGTAAAGAGATGAGACTGGTCACCTCAAAGGGGACTCTGTCTGGCACTCTGTTCCTCCCTGGGAAAATCCACCACTGAGCTGAATCTGTGCTATATCTTAAGTGACAGGAAGATGAATTCTCAACTCTGAATATGGAAGGAATTCCTCCTACCTCCTCCCAAATGTCCTTGTTGTCTCCATGAGGGCAGGGGTCACCCTGAAAAAAAAAATTTCCCCCTTTTTATGATTCAGGGTCCTGCTCCATCTGGGTGTCCTTCCCACACAGTGTACTATAAAGCTGACAATAGGCCGACATCCTTGGAGTTGGGGACGATAGGCAAAACATTTGGGGAAACAAGGAGAAACTGGATAATCACCTTCTTCTCTTGGGCTTTCCTCTCTGGTTTATTTCCTCAGATGTTGTTGTTCTGCCAGGTGAGCAAGGTGGCTTTCTAATCCTAAGGAGGATGCGTCATGCTGCCCTTCTTATGGCTGTGCCATAAGAGGGTCAGCCATCAGGACCCACTCTTCCCTCCCTGTAGAAAGAATGTCTTCCGCAATGTGACCACTGTCTTAGATTTCAACAGGCATAATTCCAGTGAAAGACAATTATCTCAATTATCTCACAAATGAAAGACAATTATCTCACAAGAAATGTTACACTACAAAAACAGCACTGGGCTAGAAGGCTACTGGCACATATGAGGGACTACACCATTTAGCTCCTATCTTTGAAATTTAGCACACTAAGGTAGTTTGCTTCATCTCTAGGTTTGGGAAAATGTTCCACTTAAAGCCATGTCTTTACTTTTTTACTAATGGGACTTCTGTACAAAGTATCAGTTTTCTTCTTTTAGATCCTACCTTCCCTGGCTCCCGGTATTAGCCTGAGGGCAGGGAGGGAAAGGCTGAAGTCACTGGTTTCCAAGTAATCTCTCTACTGAAGGGTGGCCGGATCCTTTGTGCATAACTTTAGTTTCTAATGGAGGTGTCTTTAGATGAGGAATAATCTGGACATCAGGAGCCCAGCAAGCAGCAGCACTTTTTGGAGAGAGGTTAAACAGGTGGTAAGAAAGTAAGATGAGAGAGAAAGAAAAAAAATTCCTAAAAGACACGGGAGATTTGCCATTCAGACTCTGTTTAAAAAACAAAAACAAAATCAAAATTTAAATCGAGTCTAATTTCCTAGACTCTGTTTAATAAGCAA